TCTCTCTCTCTCTCTCTCTCTCTCTCTCTCTCTCTCTCTCTCTCTCTCTCTCTCTCTCTCTCTCTCTCTCTCTCTCTCTCTCTCTCTCAATCATGTCCGTGCACTGCATGGCGTGGGCACGCTCTCTCTCAATCATGTCCGTGCACTGCATGGCGTGGGCACGCTTATGGTGCCCGTCATGCGCTGCATGGGTGCAACTTCCGGGTATTGTGCCGCATGAACGATCTAATACGCTCGCCAGTTGGCCCATTTGGCAAGTGGAGGTCTTGCCCCTCAAAGAAAGCATGTTATTTGCATGCAGAGAATGTTGTTCAGAGTGAGGCCCCGTTGTGCAGCTGGTCAGGACACAACGCCCTTTCCCAAGGAAAGAACGCTGTGCTTGGGAATGTAGTTCAGAGTGAGGCCCCGGTCCACAGCTGGTCAGGACACAACACCCTTTCCCAAAGAAAAGGATGTTGTGTTTGGCTGGGTTCTTTGTGAGAGGCCAGTGCTGAACTGGGCAGGCCCCTGCATCTCGATTAAAAAAAACAACTTCGGTCGTGCTTGAAGTTTTTATGTGAGAAGCTACGTAGTCAAAAGAAATTCTGATGAATGTGCTAAAAGTGTTTAGTAGGTGGCAAGGACTTGGCCCGCTCTGAAATTAATGATATGTGCTCACCTCCTACTCAACCACAAATGTTGGGAGTCGTGAGGGTGATAGATTGACAACACATGATGATTGGTAATCCTGCTAATCCTTCCATGTGAAGTGGCAAGTAGTCACTTTTGCAAGCAATTGGATCCATCTAGTATATAAAAGTCTCCTATGTGCGCGAGACTTATGAGCATCTGCAGTTCCAGATCTTATGGGCGAGAGACACGCGGTTAACGGAGGGCCGAAAAATTTCTGTATTCGCTGACAGGTTCCGTGCAAAATTCAGCGAAATAGTCAAAAACAAACCGTGTGGCCCCGTAGTGCAAACATCAACGAATCCAACGAAATGCTCTGACTTTTTCTTATTGACCCGGACATGTCAAAACTGGATACATGAAGTACCTTAAAGCATCTATATATCACACACACAAGAAAAAAAAAAAAAAAAAAAAAACATCAGGGCAATATGACAGTCTCAGTGCAAAATTCGGCGGAAAAAAAACACACCCCCGGTTAACCACGTGTGCCTGGGCACTTGCCGGCTGCGGTTTGGTTCCGACACACTCCAGGAGTTTTCAACTTTTCACTGACTTCCTTGGAACTGAGCTGCATGCCCCGACCGACAGGCTGTGACTTCTACCAAGAAACGATGAACCTAGCCTACTGGAATCCTATGACCTACCCGGTGTTCGTGCTGCATGTACCGGGCCTATGAGTTTAGTGAGGAAAGGCCTATATCTCCTAGCCGTTGGGCATTATGTGACATGGGACAGTGGGACTTGGAACTGGGACCAGGACTCTAAACGTGTGAAATCCTTTCATGTTTTTTTCCAGCAAGATCAGTAAAACAATGGCACCCCTAAACCCGTCTACTGTAAGCAGTAAGTATCTTTGATACTTGGGGAAGGGGTTTGTGGTAATGAGCTGTTTGCACGGATATGGTTTTCTCAGTCAACAAAGCGGCTGTGCGTGTGTGTTTGTGGTATCTGCATATCCAGGCCCTAAGCTCCACGACCCTGCTTTATATTAGTTATTTGAATTTACAGAGTGGGTATTCAATAAATCGGGAGATCCTGAAAGGACCAGCCGTTTCAATCGCACTTCTGTTCTTGTGCAGGTTGAGGAGATTCATAATTTCGTGCAGGATGACCTCCTCTCTGAGGATATCATGATTTTGGACACATTCACGGAAGTATTCGTATGGATCGGGCATCATGCCCCGGAGAAAGCAAAGAAGATGGGCTTGGAAATTGCTCAGGTCCGTTTCCATGGAGCTACATTGACCAGATATCTCCTGTGTGATCACCACCCAACTCTCTTGCCCTGCATCAAATTTAGAGGTCTTGAACAAAGTTGATGCCATCAGCATGTCTTCGAGGTATTACGATTACCTGGCATGTTTATAGAAGATGTCTTCTGGATTTTGATTTGTCTTTGTGCTATTAGTATTCCCTGACATTTGCGAATATCATCAGTGTGACCTTCTTTGCACTGCTCTTCGTTGACCTTTTATGTCTTCCTGCCGTCTGAATTAATCAATACAGTTGGTTTTGATGTTATGTTACGAAAGAAGAAATCATAATAGATAGAGAAAGTGGTGGGAAAAAACCCACAGAAACAGAGGAGCAACCGCACAGAAAGAGGCCAGAAGAGCGGTTTCAGTGTGGCATCATTCTGTCTTCTCTTCTCTGCATTTGTTCTACACAGTATGTTCTTTTTTTGCATTTGTGACAACATATGTGTGCACCCCTCACTGAACTACGCCAAGGTTGTGAGCCTTGAACCTGAGAGGCACTGTGAAGGGGGAACTTGGGAAAAAAGCCAAAAGAACGAAAGACGCAAAAGAACGGCGCAGAGAAAGAAGAACATATTAAAATAACCGTTTCAGAATGTCTTTCTTATGCTGTCGTCTCCCTTCCGTCATTTGCTTTGCAAAGTGTGCTCCGCAGTTGATTGATATGACCACAGTGGTATTTCCTGCTAACAGCACGACCAGGCATCTTATCCAGCCCCTGTGGCTGAATGCTACACACATGTAACTATTAGTTGAGCAGAACATGCGTTCATACCCAGGTGGAATTGGGGGGGGGGCCTGCCCCCTCAACAATGAGAATGCCCAGGCTCTTAATATTGCTATTTTCTTCCCCCGAATAGAAGGCATGCCTGGTACGGTCATTTTTGCTTTGCTGGATCTGGACTGAAAGGTGAGCCAAATCCGGATGTAACGACCGTACGGGTCATTTTTGTGGCATCTGGACTGAAGGTGAGCCAAATACGGATATAATGACCGTACGTTTTATTCGCGGTAAGACGCTAGAATGCTTGCATTGCAGGTGGGGTTACTCGCACACAAGGGGGAAATACAGTGCCAGGGCTTGTGACTTGTAAGCGAAATAAAGATATGGTACTTCTTTCTGACGATAGGATTGCTCTGTACCACGGTAAGATGGTCAGGGGTGTCAGCGACTCGGAGAGGTAGGGGGTTGGTGTTGATGATGATGCTTGGTGGCTTTGCAATTGCCTGTGTGTTGTGGCGTGGATTTTTTTGGAAATGGAGGTTCTGATGGATGGTTGTTTGCCAGACTCGATAATAGTGAATGCTTGCATTGCAGACAGGGGTTGCTCACATACATTGGGGACGACAGCGCGAGGTTGTGCAGCAAAGTGGAGATATGGTACTTGCTTCTGGCAATAGGATAGCTCTGTTCTGTGGAGCTTTTTCCACAACAGTCCTGTTTGATAGGATTCTCAGCAACTGGGGGAGGGGCTTGATGACAACGGTGCTTTGTGGCTTTGCAATTGTCTGTCTGGTGTGGTGCAGAAATATCTTGAAATGGTGGTTCTGACGGATGGACGGTCGTCTGACTCTACGATAGTGAAAGTTTCCGATGGCAGCGAACCTCCGATGTTCACTTGCCACTTCACATGGGACAACACAAAGTCTGCGGTAAGTGTCCTTCGCATGATGACTGTTGATCATCAAGTGACGTCCTGTCCGAACTTTTTCCCCCTCGTTTTTTCCTTTTTTTCACTCTCGTCAGTCCTCAGACTCTTTCTGTTTGTGCAACAGCCGGAAGCACTGTCCTTCCTGAACAGCAGCAGCAGCAGTACGCCGGCGGTGGCTGGCTGCCGTATTTGCTTGCGCTTGGTGGGAGATGAGGGGGCGAAATGGGGATAAATTTCAAAAATTTCGGACCATTTGGTCCATTTCATGATTTAGGCGTGTTATCTTTGGACAGGGGACATGCTAATCTTCTCTTTATCATTCAAATGTTAACGGATGTCCCAAAGGACTTCTATTTTTCACTTTTCTCGGGCAGCGGGCAGAGACAGTACAACGATGCCCTCTCGGAACTATTCCTGAACTGACTATTTTTTTTGTGTGGTGCTCTCCTCTTTTCTCATTTCACCCTCTTACCTACCTTGGCATTGCTGCTGACGTGCTTGCTTCGGAATTCTGGAGTAACTTCTGGGCTCAGGAGCCCATATTCAAATGATGGCTGTTTTTCCCTCATGTCTCAAGTTAAATTCAAATACTAATGAAAAATAAGATATATATGTATTTTTTTATGAACTTTCTTTTTCTGATTTTATTGAATATAAAACAGAATTTCCTTGTTTACGAGTAGATAAAAAACAAACTTACCTACCCTACCATTGCTGCTGACTTTTTTGAGTTAGGATTTGTATTATTCAAAATCTTTTACCTCAAATACAAAAACAACTATGGTTGAACCTCTTCTATCTGGTATAGTACTTGGATTAATTCCTATTACATTAGCAGGATTATTTGTAACTGCTCACTTACAGTATCGAAGCTTAGGGTGGTGGACTGTCAGTATCATGCTGAAATTCGCAGAGAATTGTTGTGGATTGTACATGCTCAGGTTCGTTCCTCTTGTATGCTCTCAGTTCCCTTTCTCTGTCATAGCAGATGAATCTCTGTTGTTTTTGGGAGTGTTATTCTCTGATTTGTCCACTGTTGAATCCAGAGATTCACAGCAAAATAATTTGTGAGACGCTGGAAGGAATAACAAAATGTG